GTTTTCCAAATTTTCTTTTGAGGACTCATCTAAAAATTCATTTTTTAATGATAGATAAAGGTGTGAGGTTTTCCAAATTTTCTTTTGAGGACTCATCTAAAAATTCATTTTTTTAATGATAGATAAAGACGTGAGGAGTGACTAAGAGAGAATAATAGAGAGGGGAGGATAAGAAGAGAAAGAATAATAACAAAAAATTTATTAATATAGAGAGGGAAAGTGAGGGTGGATATAGTTTAGAGGGATAAATATAGTGAGAAAATGTGAGAAATTAAGTTAAGAGATGATGTTGTAAGAAAAATTAACGAGAGTGGAATAATGGTGTGCAAGTAAACAAGTATCAATGAAATAATGTTGAAAAGTTGTGTTTTTAATGTTTTGATTTAGAATATGTCTAATAAAGATAAGGGGGGAGAGGAAATTGAAATAAAAAAGATAATATATAATTGATGGAGGTGCAACAAATGACTAAAAATAAATAATACAGTGGGAGGATAAAGGAATAAGGGATAATAACAAACAAATTATCAATATACTGGGAGAAAGTAAGGGTAAATATAGATCAATGGATAAATATAATGATAAAATATATGAGAATAAACTAGGAGATGACATTGTAAAAAAATTAATGAAATGTGAAGTACAAATAAGGGAAAAATTACCAAGAGATTAATGCTAACAAGCTATATATATATATATATATATAATCTTATCATCAACTATGTAATCTAGTTGTAGAGTTATTTGTATTCTTAACCATAGATCTAGGATTCAATTTATAGTCTCTTATGTACTAAAAAATGAGCTTTATATATATATGTATGTATATATATTTTGTATTTTAATTTAAAACTTTTTTAATATGAGCATTCAAGAGAAAGGAAACTAATTGAAGTAAAAAATAGAGATCAATAGTAATAGTTATAGATATAAAGATAAAAAATGTTAATGAAGATTTAATAAATTACTATATCATATTTATCTCAAAAAATTTGAATTAATATGGAAGTTTAGTAAATTAATATGAATTTTAATTAAC